CAAAAAAATTATAGAATATTTACTTGACTTATATGGACTATCTTTTGGGATTATAAAAGAATGTCAATTATTTTATTTTTTTAATTAACACTCTTCGATTAATGCATATAAGAAATTTTAACAAAACAAAAAAAAATGCCACCTTAGGTAACAGATGTTTTGCATCGCAGGGTAAAAAAAATGCCACCTTAGGTAACAGATGTTTTGCATCGCAGGGTAAAAAAAATATCCGGCTTATTTAAGATTAAGCTCTTAAAATAACAAAAAATTTTAATTTCAAAACATCATTTTTAATCCGCCATTATGGAAAATGATAAAATGCAATATTTTAAATTTTTTATCTTTTTAAAAGTATCCTTAACATGGATACTTTTAAAAGAACAAAACTTAAATAGTTAAGGTATAAAATGTTCATAAGTTTTTAAAATCGATAAAAAAAAATCTTTTTGCTTGTAGAGTAAAATGCTAAACAGCCCACTGTTTAAATAGAATTTTCTCAAGAACCAATCAGGTCAAGAATTAGATTTTGATCTGAAATTTTCAAAACATGCTTTACTTATATATATATATGTTCAAAATCAAAAAGTTTCAGCAAAATCTGAGATGGTTCATAAAGGACCTTTGCTCCACTTGGAATTTAATGACCCGATTGAAAAAATTTGCATACTAAAGATTAAAGTTCTCATTAGTTTGAAATATTATTTACAATTATTACTAAACTTGATTTTTAAACATTTGTGTATATGGTATATTTTTCACTATCAGGTATCACCATGTGTATATACCATTATTATATTTATTTAGTATCATGATGTGTTTATGTATAATATCCTCGTCATTATCAGGAATCATCCTTTGTGCATAATACTCTCATCGTTAGATCGGTCCAAATTACTGTTAATTGAAACTAGACTGGCTTAAATTACTGTGAAAAATTTTCTTTAATAATATCAAGAAATAGTTTTATAATGAATCAAGAAGTTTTATAATGAATTAAATTCACGTAATCTGTAAAATCAAAATTTGAAAAGAAATCATTTTTATTTGCAACTTTTCTAAATAATATTTATCCTAATTTATTTTCATTTGCTTTTACTTCCTGAAATGTTTGATTATTTGTATTTCCTGAATGAATCTGCATTATTGTCATTATTATTGTTATTACTGTTTTTATTGTTATTTTTATTATTATTACTATTATTATTATTATTATTATTATTATTATTATTATTATTATTATTATTATTATTATTGTTATTATTATTATTAATATATTATTACTATTTATATTATTTTTATTATTTTTATTGATTGAGTCATTTATAATTGATTTAATCATTTGAAATATTGTTACAATAAAGTAGTTTTTTGAACAAAATAAAATTGGTAAATTAGACACTGATTGTATTAATTTTTTGGTAAAATTGGCTCCAACTTCTAAAAGTTGTGGCAGTGCGTATTTAATTAGATAATTAATCAAAGGGTTGGTATGTTCCAAACATTCTTCAAAGTAACAAGTCAAATAACACTCCCAACATTAGTGCAGCCGTGGCGCAGTTGATGGAGTTGTGGCCCAACATTAGTGCAACTGTGGCGCAGATGATGAAGTTGTGGCCCAGAACCAAGAGGTCCGAGTTTCAACGCTGGCTCTAGCCAAATAAGTGACATTGGTAAGGAAGAAGTTGTGAACTTCTCAGCTAAATGTTCTTCCATGGTGTTCTGTGATATGACCGTAAGTACTTCTGAAAGCACCTTATTAACTACAAAAAAAAAGAAAAAAAAAATACCATACTATCCGTCTTTGGTTACGGTGAAAAAGTAAGAATACCAACTACGCCAGTCAGATATGCTGCCAAAATATTGCTCTAAAAAGTTATATAAAATCTGCAAATCGTTAAAAAAAAATGACAAAATATTTAAAAAATGATTCACATGAACTTTTGATGCTCAAGGTTATAACAAGAAAAACAATGCGTTAATGATATCCTAGTGAGAAGATCTCTTCAGTTGTAGTTTTGGAAAAATAAATAAGCATTTGAGCAGAGAAGGCTTTAGATTTTCCCTTTATGCCACCTAATACTTTGCAAATGGATATAATTTATATTCAAAATCATGGAGCTGCACGTCAGATAAAAGTAGCAAATAAATGCACAGAGAGGGCTGCATTAGTGCAAGCCTTTAACTCTTTTATGACAAAAAACAAAAAGCAAAAATCAATACTTTTTTCAAAATGGCAGCACTAATCCAAAAGCCTTTCCAGGTTATCAAAGAGTTTATTGAAAAAAGTATTCAAATAAACAATGCATTACAATATGTGAATTAGGTTTAGAAGTATTCCCTTCCTTAGTACTTGCTATTGCAAATATGTTGAATAATATATTTACAATATATTCTTCTTCTTCCTTTTGAAATATTATCTAAAAGTAATATCTGACTTCCTCATTTTAATTTACTTTGCCTCTAATTACAGGTTCAATCATATTTATTAGAGTACCATAACAAGTAGTATTTAAGTTATTTATTGCAGCGTGTTAAAAAATCTGAAAAAACAGTTTTTTAAGTTAACTGAAAAAAATAATATAAAAAAGAGTATTATTTTGTTTCTAAAGGTTTATTATCGTTCTTCAATGTGCAGTTCTAAGTTTTTTAGGAATTTTATTTCATGTTTTTAATTCCATTGAGAAGCTAATAATCTTATCCTCGTGGAGTTTTATTTTACATGCGAACATTTTAGTCAAGATTTTTTTTCCTGCAGGATCTACTATAACAGTTTCTACAATGTTTAAAGAGGGTCAAAACAAGGGTTAAACGACCGTCATACTTACTATCATGTATTATCAAAAGAAACATTTTAACTTGAAATTCTAAAATAATCTCTAACTCTAAATGAAGACAAAAGTTTAAAAAAAGTTTTTCTAATGTACAGTGTCCTACTCGAGTTTCACATATTGCAATTACTGAACGCAATTTTATATCAAAAAATAATTTTTCATATGTTTTATTTGAATTTCTTTAACTGGTATAAAATTTATATATTGCAACCCATAATTATTTAATTATTATCCATAATTATTCAGTGTAACTGTATAACAAAAAACATTTTTGAAATAATCTATACTCATGATTGTTATCTTCTTTTCACAGCAAAAGCATGTTCTAAATAAGGGAAGAATGGGTATGATTTTATCAACTCCAGTAAAACCATAACTTAACTCACTATAATGATTTCTTTGAACTATTATAGAGTTATGGAAACTTATAATTAATAAAATTCACTTAATTTCCAATATAATTTAAGATTAAATTTTTTAATTTGCTTCTTCTACTTTTAAAAACTTAGCTAGCACATATAAATTAGGTTAACGCATGCAAAATCATTGCAAATTTTGGTTATTTTTTCTAATGCAAATCCAACATTGAATCAATGTCAAGTGTTAAGCAATAATATCAATGAAAAGAATAATACCGACGCATTAAAAACAGCTTATGCAGTGACGTTGGTCCAACGTATGTAAAAACATTGTAAATGTTGAATGTTTTAACAATCTGAACCAAATGTTGATCCAATGTGAATAATTTAACGTTGATTCCACGTGCAGCCATGGTGCAATAGTTAGAACTCTGGCTCAGAGTCAAGAGGTTCGTGGCTAGACGCCGGCTCTGTGATTATACCGTAAAGACTTCTTGGAACACCTTAACAATTACAAAAAAAGAAAAAGTATATAGATCAATGTCGATCTTACCTATATAATCAAACTTTGATTCAATGTATATGAATCAGCGTTAAAGCAATATATACAGTAGCGTAGGAAGAATTTTAAATGTTTGAAATAACCAACTTATAAACAACAAGAATATTCCAAATTTTTTTACGACAACCCACTCAAATTGAGGGAGGTTTAAACTTTATATGGTCATAATTTTTAAACACTAAAATATTTTACTAAGAAATTTAAAATTTATCGATGAATATAAGTCTAGTTAAAAATAGTACAAAAAATATTTCATCAACTTGTTGCTCTCACGTTTGGGTCAGGGAAGGGGGGCTAAGATTTTAGGGTTTCTTAATCCCATTCTCTTATCAAAGTAATTTTTTTTTAAAGAATATTTTAACATACATATAAAGATAAAAAAATTTGGAATATTCCTGTTTGAACATTTAAAAATCTTTCTACGCCACTGAATATATATAAACCAACGTTGCAAATGCAAAACTATATAACATAAATAAACATTCTGTGCATCTTTAAATATTAATTCATAAGCAAAACAAGCATGATTAATGTCGATTGATGGGTAAACGTTATTATTGACTAATATTTTTTTAATTTTCAATATTTTGAAGTTTATTATAAATTTATATATATATATATATATATATATATATATATATATATATATATATATATATATATATATATATATATATATATATATATATATATATATATATATATATATATATATATATATATATATATATATATATATATATGCATATATATTTAAAAAAGCGCAATTATATTAACAAAAATTAATTCCAATAAATAAAATGTAAAGTTAACTTTAAACATCACGTAGAATCAACGTAAAATACTATCTACCAATTTAAAATAAAACGTTGTATTTTACTTTGAATTAACGTAAAATACACTTTGTTAATTTAAAATATAACATTGCGCCAACGTTGTTTTTTTTTGTTGGCGACGTCGCATTTGTAGCCCAAATAATATAAGAAAGACATTGGCCATCGATGTTGTGCCAACGCAACTCGCAACATAGTTTTAACTCGGATTTTGTTTTTTTAAGGTGGTAGTAATACTACCATTGTTAATCATACTACTAATATGGTCACAAATATAAAAATTTTTGTTTTTTTAAATACAATATTTGTCGGCATTTTCACCCGCAAAAGTGTTTTAACATTTTACCAAAGTAAAATTTTTATATTTGCGACCATATTAGTAGTATGATAAACAATGGTAGTATTACTACCACCTTAAAAAAACAAAATCCGAAAATTTTCTAGTACCATGTGTTGCTATGTGTTACCACAAAAAAATACTTTTATTTTTAACAAAATGCAAGAGTTCCCCGAGAATAACTTGCTTAGTTGTTCACCCACTCAACAAAAGTATCGCGATAAAAGCTAAGCAACCAATGATGGATGCATTTTAAAACTGATTGGAATTCTTTTCTTACGTATTTACTTAAATATTAATAACTCATTTGAATTTGGATATGGTTTCTATTTGATTTATTTTAAGAGCATATATATATATTTTTTTTAATGTTAGGTTTTTTTTGAGCTTAGTGCTTCTCGCAACGGGGCCCATGACCCTTCAGAATGAGTTGGTTCAGAAGGGTGAGTAAATGCGAACTTTATAATTGCGAACTGGCATAAGTGCACTGAAAGAATTTGCAAACATCGGCATAAGTGCAAACTGACTTAAGTGAGAGTTGGCATAACTGCAAAAACTGCAGTTGCAAAAACAGGCACAAATGCGAACTGGCATAAATGCGCTAAAAGAATTTGCAAACATTGGCATAAATACGAATTTCCAAAAGTGCGAACTGGCATAAGTGCAAAGCAGTTGCAAAAACTGCAATAAGTGTGAATTTGCATAAGTGCGCCGAGTAAGTTTGCACACATTGGCATATGTGCAAACTGGCATAAGTGCAAGACAGTTAAAAAAAATTGGCATAAGTGCGAATTGGAGTAAGAGCGCCAAACAAAATTGCAAATATTAACATATGTGCGAATTGACATTTCGTACTTATGCCATTTTCGTTCTTATGCCAGTTCGCATTTATGCCAATGTTTGCAAACTCTTTTAGCGCACTTATACCAGTTCGCCATTGTGCCAGTTTTTGCAACTGCTTCGCACTTATGATCGAGTTGCAAGAGAAAGACCCTAGTTAAACCAACTTATGATTAACAAAATGACTTTTAGGTATCAAACTATCAATAGGTTTGATAAATAAACTGCGAAACTTTACTGAATAGAAAATTTAATTAAAAAAAAAACAACTTATTACGGCAAATTAATTTATTTTGTCTTTGTTATTCCTATCCTTTATTAAATCGGTGAATGTTAAAAGGGCGGAAGTCCAACTATGTAAACAGTCGGGAAACTAAGAAAAATTGCATTTTCCCCCGTAGTAAATTATTTGTTAATGCTTTGATAATTTTTTTTTTAAGAGGAATATGTTTTTCACCTTCAAAAAAAAAATATTGAACCATTAACAAAAATTTACTAGGGAGGAAAATGCAGTTTTTTGGTTTCCTAAGAGATTACATTATTGAACTTCCGCCCTTTTAACTTTCACTGGTATGATTGTTGTTGTTGTTAATTTAAAAAGCGGGAAATTTTTTTTTGAATATAAAAGTAATAATAAAAATAATTTAAGCGACTTATCATGAATTGGGTCGGAGGTGCAAGGTAAAAGTTTAATTATTTAAAAAATTTGTATAAACATTTTTAGAATTTCTACTAGTATTGATTAACAGGAGCCGATTACGTACAAAAAATGAAAAAAAGATTCAGCAACAGTATTTTGAAAAAAAAAGAGAACAGAAAAAACTTGGTATCAAGCCAACTTTTAATAGTTCTTTTAAAAATCATGGTTTTTCAATTAGTCAAGATATGTTATCATTAAAAACGGTTCTTAAAAGTCACGATAATTTACTGAAAAAGAAAGTTATGGTTTTAGATTTTGTGTTTTTTCAAAATTTATTTACATTTGATAAACCTTATAAATATATTATTTAATAACAAGTTATTAAAAAATTATCAGAGTAAAACTCTTTTTAGATTTTTTAATTTTTAATTTTTTCTTTGATACAGGTTTAAATATCTGCTACAATAAGCCACGCCATGTTGAGTTGAATGATTATTCATTAAAACCTCACATCAATTATAATAGAGCTGTATTAACCTCATCACCTGTAAAACAAAAATCTAATTTGCTTTTAACAAATGCTGAAGATGATGAGAAACAATCTACAGTTCAATCTATATTAAACGATAAACTATACAAATCATTTGAAAATTCAATCCTTAAATCTAATCCATCCACAAATGTAAATTTGCAAAATTATGAAGAATTGAATACATGTCTTCCTCCCATATCTGTAGTTGATCAACTAAGTAGAAAAATAAATTCTCAGTTATTGGAAGGGGATCAGTTACTGCGACAAAAAAGCCCTAGTAAAAGAAAGTCAGAGTATTACTATTTTATTGAAGGCTTGAAAAAAACTAAAAAAAATGGTTTTGATAATAATAAAGAAAGTTCTAACTATGAAACACAGTTTTTGACAAAATTTGAAAGAAACAATAAAATGCACTCAAATTTATACCAGCAAAAAAAATTTTCTGCTTCGCCAGAATCAATGTCATCTTTTAACTTGAATAAAAAATATAGTTTATTATATCAAAATATTGAAACTCCTCAAGTGTTGGTCTCAGCTTCTCCAGAGTGTTCTTCTATACAAAGTAATATAATTTTAAGCCCACCTAAAAACTTAATTACTTATCAAACTAAAATGAATTGTATAAGTAATGAGTTTATTGATAGCATATCCTCACTTAAGTACAACAAGGTTGAAGAAAAAGAATTGGTGAGTTTGTTATAATAAAATTTACTTTTTTTTTTTTAACAATTATTTGGCACTGTTTCAGTTGCCTACCCCTATCATTTTGTGATTAATTTCAATAGAGAATTTCATGCTGAAAATTTTAGGAAAGCACTCTAATTTGATGTTGAAATTTAAAAAATTACACTAAAAACGCTAATAATCGCCATTTTCTTCATACACGAAATGTGATTGATTCTTTTTCTTTGTTAACTTAAAAACACTTTTAAGAAAAACTATTTAAAGCAAAATCCCAGGAGTTTCTAACTGATTCTGACCCAAACCCTAACCCTGACCCTAACCATGTACATTTAATTGGACCAATCCCTATTTGTCAGTCGATGTATGCACATTTAGTTGCGCTAATTCCTTTTTTTCAGTCAATGTATTTACATCTAAAAAGCTGTCTAAAAGATTTTTTATTAAAAAAACAAACATATATATTCATGATAATATTTAAAATCGGGTAGCATAATTAAAAAAAGATTTTCTAAACGATTGAATTCTAAATAAAAACCTATTAAAAAAGGTTTTTAAAAAGATGGCAATATTAGCATTTTTAGTGTAATTTTTTAAACTTCAGCGTCAAATTAGAGTACTTTCCTCAAATTTTCAGGTCAATGTTTTTATACAAATCTTAATTATTCTTTATAAGTAAGAAGTATTTTTTTTTATCAGGAGTTTTATCCATAAAATAAATTTTGTCAGTATTTTAATTCTTTTCTCCTTTTAGTTTTTAGAAGGTTAAATGTAATATATTAAAATTTTTCAAGCAAAGTTATATATGCTGTAATAAAATATAGAACAACATTTATTCGATGGTTTTCTAGAGACAAACTTATATTAATTTTTTGGTTGGCTTAATTTCAATGATTTTTATTATCATTTGAAAAATTTATATTTATAAAATGCAAACTTTTTAAATTATTTTTCCTGTAATATAGTTTATATGCTTTTTTTAGAGTATCTTTTTAGAACGTAAGTAAAATAACAACTGGTTTACCTAATAAGAAGACCTCAATTGGGTCGTTCAAGTTAAACACCTCGATCGAATCCCCAAACGTGAACACCACTATTGAATCATCTAATGTTAACACCTCAATAAAATCTCCTGACTTAAACATTTCAATTAATTCACCTAATATGAACACATCAGTTGAATCACAATATGTGAACATCTTCATTGAATCACCTTATATAAACACCTTAGTTGAATCACCTAATTTGAATGTTCAAGGTTCAAGAGTAAGTGTTTAAATATTATTTAAGGTATTTACTTTAACTAAATTTAATAATATAACTTTTGAATGTTAAAGTTTAATATTTTAAAAGTTTCTAGATGATTGTAGTGGGATTGTATCTAACAAGGATATATTATCATCATGGGCAAGTAAGAAACCTGTTCTTTTATTTAACATTCTGGTTAAATGTATTTAACACATTGATTTAAAGTTTATAAGAGATATTTAAAAGTTTATAAGAGCCAATGGAATGTTTTATAAATAAAATTTATCAAAATGTAAAATGTAAATAAAGTAACAGTTAATTCATGTTGAAATTTAATAAAGTTTTTGTTTTTTCCTTTAAAAATTTTCAATACTCTTATAGGTAGTATACAATCAAATCAAGGTGTTCATGACAACAGTAAATGCATCATTAATGATAAAAATCACCAACAGAATAATTGTATTTGTTCTTCGTTACCAATAAATTCTATATCTTGTGACTCTTTGATAAACATTCCAAATGGTGAATATTTAACTAAGGATATTATCAGTAAATGTTTGACAAATAATATATGCGAAAAAGTAACACAAGTTTTAGATGCATTAAACAAACATGATTTAATTCTTCATGAACAGCATTTAGAAATCATTACTGCTATTAATATGCAAAAATATAGAGAAACATCTCTTTTTTTTAGAGAGGGCAATGTAAAATAATTTTTTTTTTTAAATTTTTATGGTTGTATTGTTTTTATTGTTGTTATGGTTGTATTGGTTTTATTATAGTTATGGTTGAATTGGTTATGTTTTTTAAGAAAGTTCTTACTACGTATATTTATATGGAAATGAAAAAAGTATAGTTAATGTTTTTACTTTAAATTGTCCACATATTTGTTACCTAATTTTTAAGTTAGGTATTTAAGGTAATAATTTTTAATGTAATAATAACATAAGGTAATAATTTTTAACATATTTTTAATAGAATAATTGTTGAAATTAATAGTTTATTTAGAAATCTGGTTTTTACAATAATTGTTTTGTATAATTATTTTAATTTCAAGATGAAATTTCTAGTTTTCAGAGTTTATTTTCAATGTTTATATATATATATATATATATATATGTATATATATATATATATATATATATATATATATATATATATATATATATATATATATATATATATATATATATATATATATATATATATATATATATATGATTTTTGTCTAAAATACTTATAAAAAGTCTTTACTTTTGGCGTTTCAATGCACATAGGTTGTTTTCCTTTGTGACTATTAAATCTTCTTTTTCTTAACCAAATGAAAAAATCAGATTTTTGTGTTATTTTTGGAGGGCATAGCCAAGTATGATATCATTACAAAGATTTTCCAAGACACCCAACTGAACATTATGATACATTAAATCATTTACTTCAAGGTTAACAGAGCAACAACTCACTAATTATGACTCCATTGCTGATAGGGCCATAAAGATCTTTCTTTTACTGGATAATATTTTTATTTTCAAAGTATCAATAATATTTTTTGCTTATAAAAATATCTGAACTACAAGAATCAGTTAATGTAGTTAATGAAACATCATTAATTCTGAGTCAAATGTTTAATTTTTAATGAAAACATTTGCAAATGTAATTCGAAGTTATTCCAGATATAAAAGCGTCTCCTATTTGTTCCTCTCAATATTGTTCAACAGATACATCTTTATAATTACAATTTTTTAATTGCAATTTTGAGTTTACACAGTTCCTGAAAAAAATCTTATAAGGGGTTGTCCATAAGTTACGTCACGTTTTAGGAAGGGGGAGGGGGAGAAAGTAGGCGATTTTGTAACGATTTATTTCGAGAGGGAGGAGGGGTGTCTCGATTTTGTAAACATTTTTTTTTCAGAGTTGATGTGTAAACTCCGTTAACGGAATAGTTACTGCCTGTTAACGGACTGTTACGGCTTTAACAGTCTTTGTGCAGTGCACGCTCTGCGCTATGATTTTAAATGATCCAAGTGTAGAACTTTATTTAGTTGGTGCACAAAAGTGTGCACTAACAAAAAAACAATCTTTGTGCACTAATTAGAAAGAAGATAAAATTTCAACACCGAGAGGCGAACTTAGAACCCCAGTTTTACAAGCTTGAATCCACTCGGCCACGCTATCGTAAAGGTTGGGAAGAAAATTTTATTTATAAAATAATATTTTTGCATGTATTCTATGTTATCATAAACATTGGATGATACAAAAATAATGTTAGAGTGAAATTTGTCTGGATCATCCTCTCCACAATCCTCAATAAAATTCTCCAAAGTTGGCTTCCAATACTTTTAAAGAAGTTTTTTTTTAAGCATTATGATCAATATCAAGCTCGCTGGTTTCTTTGACATTTTCCATTAATTTTATTTAATAAATTGATCTCATAAAGTAAAGACCTAATAATAAAAGCTTTATTCAAAAAGAAGTGCTTTTTGAACTAAGAACAAAAGCTAAATAAGTATATTAAAGAAATGGGCAATTCATATTATAGCTTCTAAATGATGGATATTAGACTAATAGTATTTGAGTTCTTCAAAAACAAAATTAATTAAAAATCCTTTAAACAAAGATAGTAAGGAGAATTAGCAGGAAAAGATTTTGTGCTTTATAAAACGTCATCCTGATTTATCACTCAGAAAACCAGAAGCAGTTTGTATGAACAGAGTATTTGGTTTGAATGGTGGCAATATTAAAATCTATTTTAGTAATTTAGAGAATTTTTCAGATAAATATTACTTTGAGCCACATCAAATTTTTAATTGTGATGAGTCTGGGTTGCCATGCGTCTATAAACCATTAAAAGTTATCTCATCTACATGAAAACGGTGTGTTTTATCAGTGACAAATCAGGAAAAAGAAGTTACATCAACAATTTTATGTGCATGTAGTTCTCTGGTCATTATGTACCACATGTGGTATTTAATTTTTTTAATGATATTTAAGCACAAAGAAAAAGGAAATTATTACTCACAGATAATGTTCCAGTTGAAACTTCAGTTGGAATTCAAGGATGCTCAGAAAATGGCTGGGTTAATATTGATTTAGTTTTTGAATATATACAATATTTTGTTAAACACGTACGATGCTCTCTAATCAACAAAGTTTTACTTATATTTGAAGGTCATTGTTCACAGTGTAAAAGTTATAGACTTTGCTCGTGAAAATGGATTGTTTTTGCTGTTGCTACTACCATACAAAATTCATAAACTTTAACCATTAGACTGTATATTTTTTTCTGATAACCTTTTTTAATCAAGCATCTAGAAGATGGACGCAAAACCATTCAGGAAGATAAATACAAACAGAAATCTTGGAGAACTTTTAAACGAAGCATATTTAATAGCTGCTAATATGGAAAATGCTACTTCATGTTTTAGAGCAACTGGTATTGTCTCATTTAATCGGTATGTGTTTGAAAAGAAATATCCAAGGACACCTTTGAGTGATAATAATAAAATCATGTTATCCATACCTCATTAAATTCACTTTAAACAGGATAAAAAAAAAGGAAGTAAAATTTTACTGATATAAGAAGTTAAAGCCAGAGTAAATCGAAGTGAAGAGAAAGTAAAATTTTCCAGAATTGACTTCATTGGAATTAAAGAGTCATTATTAATTAAAGCCAATTGAAAGCTTTTCTGAGACCACTGATACTTCATCAAGTTCTTTTAAAGACATACTTCAAATTCCAAACTTTAGGTCTGTGAATTATGAAAAGACGAAAAATATTTAAATGATAAATTTTGCGGTATCATAAAATATAATTGTTTGTAGCGATAAAACCCAGACCGAAGATTCTTTTTTTTTTTTAATTTTTTTTCCTTAAAATCATCTTACGAATCAGATTTTTAAAAAATTACGATTTTTAGGTTAAATAAACATCGTAGTTTAATAATATGATCTGTTTTGATTGTTTATTGATAATTTTTCTTAGCTTTAAGCTCTTTCTTGGTCGGATATCGAGTATTTTTTGTAAAAATTGATAGAAATATTATATTTTGACAACTATATTAATTTAACATTCGTCAGAACCGATGAAAATTAGAATATAGTGGGTTAAAACACTTTTTAAAAAGATTTTAATTAAGTTCACTTTAACACCAATGAGCGAAATTAATTTAAAGACTGCAAAATGGTGCTCTTTAGACTCACTATTAGTAAAAAGTTTTTGAAAATTGTGTATAAAAAAAAAAGTTTTTTTAAATATTAAAAGACCTGAAGTAAAAAAAAAATTATAGCATCTTTAGCTCTTGTTTAGAGAGGTTGATAAAACCATGCTAATTCCAATTAAAAGAATTCGAATAATTTGTAAATCGCCCTAACTACACCGAGTGTCATGTTTTTTGATTTGAATAGAAAATCGCTTTTTTATGCAACTAGATATGATATTTTATTCGAATATTTAACAAGCAGGAAACTTTGTGTTTAATATGTATTTTTTCAATTAATATCGTGTTTACTTCCTATTGTATTTTTTTTTTTTTTGATTTTTATGCAAGGAAATTTATTTATATATTCATGTATTTTGAGTTGCATTAGAGAAATTACATTATAAAATGATACCTTTGTGTTTTTATTTGCATTTTTATATTTAATCAGATCGAATTTATCAAAAGTCTGCTTTAATTTTATTGAAAATTATATTTTTACTAAGTTTTTTCTTCCAATGAAATCTGCCTTATTTTGCCCCAGATTTTCGGGAAAGATAGACAGGGTAGTTGTTGCCATTTTGAACTGAATTATGTACTAATGCAACAAATAATCTCCTCTTAAAGAAATTCCTAGACGCATAATGTGCTTGTGGCCTGTAGAATTTCTTGTTGTAAAACGTGGTTCTTCTCAAATTGTTAACATTCTTTCAGAAAGTCTCAATCTGCTATAGGTTACGCTACACGCTGGTACTTTAAAATTTGTAGAAGTATGTGTGATTGCTTTAAGCGATTTTCAAGACTGTTAGAAAATTCTTTTGTGATTGAGTCTCTTTTATTATCTTTTTTTTTATTTCTTATAGTGTAAAATTTTAAGTTTGTGTCGTCCTTTATATTTCTTAAGGTATTCTAAATTTTTTTTGAATAGTTTTTTTTTTTAACTTTTAGATTTTCAAGTATTTTATGTAATGATTATTTTTTTTAACATTTTTGACGGCATTTTTTTGTGCCACCGCTAGCGATGAAAAATTAGCGAGTTTAAATCTCTTACGAAAACCATTCTCTCGCCATTACTTAAAATAAAATGCAAGAATATTTTACTACGGCTCAACTAAATAATCTACTATGATTTTAAATGCAATTTCAAGAATCTACTATAATTTTAAATGCAATCTCAAAAACCTATTATGATTTTAAATGCAATCTCAAAAACCTACTATGATTTTAAATGCAATCTCAAGAATCTACTATGATTTTAAATGCAATGACGTATTTCTTCTCGGGGAAGAGTTGATTAGGCGCCTCACATGCAGATTTCGTAATAACTATATAGACTTTGATCAATTTTTTGTCATAATTATCATTCGTAAAGTTTTTAAATCTATTATTTAAGCAACCATTATATAATTGTAAAAAATCAGTGTTTTTTCTTGGTTTGGAATGCTGCAATTGTCTGTTATATTACGTATGTTCTCTTAAGAAAATTGTCCGTTAATTCCAATTTCAAAGACGCTAGTAAATGGTCACTCATATTTTGAGATAAAAAAGAGCTTTAGTAATGCGACTTCAAACCCTTTGTGGAGTCTTCTCATACCTTCTCATACACAATAACTTTTGTATTCATGTATACAAAACTATTTAATAATCTAATTTGCCTAATTTATTAACTATTTATTTAATATCTAACGTATCAAGTTTCAAAATTTTATAGTTTAAATTTAAAGTTTTTTTT